CTTGCTCCTAGTAGCGATGCCCTTTGCTCCTAGTAGCTTTTAATGTTACTAATCCTTTCAAATCGCCGTTTCTTGATCTTTGGTGTTTGGCTGCCCAGCCCTTGGGACGCAATGACATCGAGCGCTTGCGCGGTGTGGCTCGAAACTCAGTGCAATTCAAGAAACACAGTGAAATTCGGTGATTGCCAAGTTTTCAGGGCACGCAACGCTGTGTGGCACTATCCACTTTGTCGACACAAACAACCCCCACCGCACACGAATACGCATCGATTGTGCTACCCTGCTTGCTTCTCAACATGCAAAACATGTGATTCGTGGCTCGCGACATGCAATCGTGAGAACGCTTTTGGCTTTCTGAACAGGCAATTTGAGAACCAAGGAAGTTGTAACTACTTGTGGCAGCCATTGCCGCAGGGTTGGGGCAAGTATGCCAGGTTGAAAGGAGAAGTAGTAAGTAGTGGAGCAGCCAGTAGAAAAAGCATGTAAGCAGAGAAAAGGAGACAACAGTCCCGGAAAAAGAGAAAAGTAGAGGCAAGGTGGCGTCTATAGGTAATGCTGAACGGCGGAGAAGTTTAAGTACGGAAAGATGTGTTGTGCGCACATTCCGCTTCAATCGCACATAGCTATGAAAATATCAACTATGGTAATCTATGGTAAATGGTTTGACACAGTCCATGGCAGGAATCCTCCGAATCTTCCAGGTGTGTTCGGCGTGGTCCAGATTGCATGGTGATTCATTTGAGCTTGTTTGAAAGTACCACTTGAAATATTGTGTGAATCAGGAAATCCCGTACGAGCACAGCACACACAAAGCACAGCACACCGGCGCCTGCCAAAAAAGATTCGCAAAGAAGCAGTATGCCTTCAGGTCGATGGTCTAGTGGCTTCTTGCTCCGTTCGTAGCGATGCCAGGAGCCCCGAACGTAGCTTCTTGCTCCGTTCGTAGCGTCCTTGTTCCTCCTTCCCCAATTCCACAAGCTGCTTTGGCTTCTGGCATCTTCTGGCGCGGCTTTGTGAGTCCTGCACGGCGAAGTGGGCACTGCCTGCCGTCGATCAACGCAAAGCCTGCAGACAGCAGCATCGCGCACCTACGATGTTGAACAAACCTGTGAAGATGCTCTGTGGTGGTCGTGGAAACGCAGATTTCTTGATATTTTCTTAGCTTGTCGGCATTTGTCCAAGTGTTCCTCAAGGATCCTGCAGATGCTCCGGAGGAGACCGCTACAGCTTCCTTTGACTCTTCCATGGTTTTCTTCAGCTTGAATATCTTGAGTTGGAGTAGTGTGTTGCACCCTTGTGGGGATTCATGGCTGATTCATGGCTTGTCACGGTGCAGGACCTCCGGTGTGCCATAGATGGCAAGTTGCTGGGGGTCAGCCTGTGCATTTCTGTGCATTCAATTTGCCACTAGTTCTCACTCTCACCTACTAGCCATGGCCTTCTAGTAGCGATGCCAGGAGCTACTAGTAGCGTTCTTGCTCCTAGTAGCGATGCCCTTTGCTCCTAGTAGCGTTCTTGCTCCTAATGGCGATGGCCTCCAACGTACAATTCATCAGAGCAGTTTGCTCGGAGGTTCCGATGTTGTCGCCCTATGGACATGTCTTTGAACAAGACACGCCAGTGCCTGAGAGCTGAGAGTCGTTCAAGCAGCGTGTTTGGTTTTAGGGACATAAAATTGTTTTGGTTAACTACTAGGAGCAAAGGGCATCGCTACTAGGAGCAAGGACGCTACTAGGGGCTCCTGTTAGAAGTGCAAAATCTTTCGATTCAAACCTCGGCCTGCCGACTTTGGCCAAAGATGGCATTGCCCACTTTCGCAGGCTGAAACAATGGCTTGCGACTTGCGGTAGTGTATGCCCAATCACTGGAAGAGCTCTGCGAGAAGAGGCCTGTGTTTTCAAGAAATGCATAATACAAGGCCTCCAACCTACTAGCGATGGCATACTGCATTGCTTTTTGACACGGAAGAGATTGTTCTGCAGGATTGCCAGGTGGATGGGGCAACGCAAGCCAAGGCCGCCACTGCTACACGCGAAAGCAAGTTCATAGCGGACCGAACAGGTTCGAGACTGGGTCAAAGCAGCCCGAATGTCCTACAAACTCAAAAAGCAGGAGAGGGAGTGACCGAAGGGAGTTTGATATGGAAGTCCGATGTTGGAGGACGCTACGAACGGGGTTCCTGGCCTTACTAACAAGGTTCGCTACTAGTAACAAGGGCATCGCTACCAGTAACAAGGCATTACTACTAGTAGCAAGAAACTACTAGGTTGGAGGCCATGTTCTTTTGACAAACGCCCTATGCAGGAGAAACGTCGCCTACGAGCAGAGAGCCAGAATGATGAACCCACAGAGCCGGATTAAAGACGAATCCAGCGTTGCACTTCATGCTTGGCTCGTGAACCTGCAAAGCAGGTCAACGTCAGCGTGTCGGCAAAACGACCCGCTTCTTCTCAACACGAAAGGAGGAATGGCCTTCAGATGGCTTTCAGCAGAGTTTGTCGGTTCTTCTCTCTGCTCTGTTTGCCCGGCTCGGTGCTATGCGATAGCCCAGAAACCTGATGGTTGAAGCTCTGAGCACAGTTTGGTTCATCGTTCACCTCGATTCACCTCCTCATTCGGTTTGAAAGCAAAACGGTCCCTAAAGTAACACTCTTCACTGGAGAGTCAATGACAAGAATTGGCACTTGAAAGCTGGAACAGCATCATGGTTGCAATTTGCTGATGTGGTTATGGCATGGAGGCGAGGGAGCGTTGTTTCAAAGGTTTTTTGAGACACCATGACACATCTCAAGACACTCAGGCAACAGCGAGGAAGAAGCAACAGATGACGAGGTGTCCTTTGACTCAGCTGAAACCAAGAGAGTACGAGCTGTTTGCTTTTCGCACTCTGTCACCAAGCGCTCTTCCCGTGCACGAAACCAACGTTCGCTCGGTGGTCCGAGTCACCGGTTTTGGGCGTCGCACATCCGACATGCACATGCATGTTGCGCAGGTTTCAATCCCAACACCAAGAGGGTTGCAGCTCGTACTGCCCCTGCGAGAAATGTCATTTAGATGAAAAAGCACATCTACAACGGATGTAATGTCGACGATGCATTCATAAAGATGACAGTGATGAAGGTCAGAATGATGAAGGTGTATCGATGAGGATTATAGTGATGAAATACACATGTCAATGCTGATGCATTGATGAAGGGTAAGTGACGCGCTTTCACCCCTTGGTCCTCCCTTGGAAGCATCACAACTTTGGAGATTCTCGTCTATGAGATCTATATTCTGCAAAGGCCGGCAAAGGCTTCAGCAGCTACCAACAATGTAGCCAATCAGGGAAGAGCCACTGTTTAAGGAGAAGGGCGCCCAATCAAAGGGCACAAACTCAATCCTTGTGTATCTGGACCAGCTCCTTATGTGTGAAAGATGTTTTCTTTTGTCATCTTGTTTCTCAATGACAACTGAGAATCGAAAGAACCAAGCAAACGCAGACATCTACTTGAGAACAACTCTTCGAGAACAGCTTGTGACAGCTTGTGAACCAAACAAAGGGGTCAAGAGCTTAGCTTTTTCTTCGAACGGGACCACTTGGTGGGGCCAAGGGACCCCAATCTCAACGGGAATCTCAACCCTTTACAGCAAAAATACATCGAAAAGTCGAGAGTTCAAGGTAAACATCGAAAGTAATAACAAGTGCCACGCTAGTAGTAACAAGTGCCTTACTAGTAGTAACAATGTTTGCTACTAGGAACAAGTGCCTTACTACTAGTAACAATAATAAATTAAATAACATTTTCAGAACCGGGAAGTTAGATGGACAACCAATGTAGGAGGCAATGTTGCAACGGCAAGTTGTGAAGGGGAATCGAACAAGTAGATGTTAGGCTTAAGCGAGTTGCAGGTGCACCGGCATCTACCCGCGCACATGCCTGGAACGCTAAGTGTGTGTGTGGTGTTTTTTTCACGCAAAAGGCTCATAAGTGCTGTGTGGTGGGTGTGTTCTGGCAGTATAGTACACCAAATCAGGGGAAAGTGTGGGGGATAGCAGTTCATTTTCGGGGAACTTGCTCGTGAACTCGTTTGCAGATTTCTGCGGTCAATGAGGTCCTGAGCCCAGACTTGCAAGTTTGTCGACATTTCCGCAAAAATCACTCGCCATTCCTCTACTTTCAACTACAGCTCAAGGTAGAAGGCGCGAACACATATTCCTTTGCCTCGCTTGTCTGAGGCTCAATCAAAAGGCGCCATGGGTCTCGAGCAAGACTAGATGCATTTAGATGCCTAGTAGCTTCTACTAGTAGTAAGGCCAGGAGCTACTAGCAGCGTCCTGGCTCCTAGTAGCGATGCCCTTTGCTCCTAGTAGCTTCTTGCTACTCGTAGTACAGATATGATGCCAGATTGCTTGCTAGGTGGGAAGCCAATGCACTTCCATATCTCTGACGACTTTGCTGGATCGAGGGCTGCAGAGTCTGAAGCTTGAGAGGGGAACATTTTTGCTTGAACCAAAGGGGCTCAGCCATCGGTTGCACCACACAGAAGATTCATTCCAATGGCCTCCAAGATTCATTCCGATGGCCTCCAAGCTAAGAAAGATTCTGAACAGATTTCTCCCTCCTTTTCGGTTTGCAACGTCATGACGCCACGTGGCGTTCTCATGACTGACATGAACCAGATGTGGTATCGGACAAACGACGTCGTTGGTCACTTAACGGACTTAACGTAAGACGATGGATGTCGCGGCAAGTCGACTCGCCCGTGGCTCTTTCTACGAACGGGGCGGCCTTACAAACGCATGGCCTCTCATTTTTTTCCCAAAGAGAAAGGAATCTAAAAGTGAACTCAGGTGTCGCAAAAACCATGCAGTGACCGCAGTCTGTTGATAGATAAGCTTAAAATCCAGAACTCTTTGTTGGACAAGACTTGCCCAAGGAATGCAATCTGTTCGTTGCAATTGAACACATAACATACACGGACAACACGTTGCTGCGTCAACATTTTCAAACATGTCTTGTGATTCTCTCGCGAAGGTTGGAGCTGGAGTCCATGTATGACTTCGGTTTTTTCGAAAAGGAATGCCTCGAGCCTCCCCCAGTGCTTGCCCATGTGACTTTGGATTGGTTTGTCTTTTCAATTGGTTGTTTAGTAGATGGTTGAGTTGTTATCAAGAGTTTGCCAACTTCGGACGAGCTTTAGTTTTTATTGGCATCCGAATGCTTAGGCAAGACCGCCATCCTCAAGGCATGATTGTTCTGGAGTTTTCAGCAAGGTTTTTCGATCATGCACACACACACAACATTGTGTTATTTTCGGAAGCCTGCGAGGGAGATCGTCTTCACAAAGCTCCAGGCTTTTGCATGTGGCTTTGCCTTCGGCTCAATTGCCAAACAATCACAGCCATGGTTTCCGCAGGAGCAGCAGAAGGAAATGGAGAAACACATGGAGGATCGTCGGGAGACATTGCCGGACAGTTTAAGAGAAGTTTCCGACAAGAAAGTGTTGAAACGGCGTTGCGTTTAAAATGGCCTCCGAACCTAAAGAGCGATGGCCTCGAGTTCGTTTCAGGCACAGGAGAAAAAGCTGAGCTCTGCCTCCAAAGCGCTGAAGCGATCCAGGGCACAGGACGGGTGCGAGTCGGCTTCGATGTTGAACGCTAAAACCATAGCAGCGTTCTTGCTCCGTTCGTAGCGATGCCAGGAGCCCCTAGTAGCGTCCTTGTTACTACTAGTAAGGCACTTGTTCCTAGTAGCGAAGCACTTGTTACTAGTAGCGTCCTTGTTACTACTAGTAAGGCACTTGTTCCTAGTAGCGAAGCACTTGTTACTAGTAGCGTCCTTGTTACTACTAGTAAGGCACTTGTTACTACTAGTAAGGCACTTGT